CTGGATGCAACACATATTCTGCTAAAGCTACGCTTAATAGAAGAGGCAATCGCTACCTGAATTGTGAAAGCTCTTGAATCCCAGTTTGGGAGATGCTTCAACAAGGGCGTTTTGAAGTTCACTTCGACACTTAGGACCGTAAGGTGAATCAATGCAATCCATGGCTCCAAGAGGGCAGAAGTGATGTCCCTCGTTGGCAGTTAGTTCACAGGTTCCAACACCGTCCAATTCCACACTTGATGGTGGATAGTAGAGCTGCACAAAAAAGTGGTAGAAAGTTAACTAAACTTGCCCGCCTCCCTTAAATTGTTTCGTTGATAATTTAACCTGCATTAATTTGGTTCCACCATTCTTTGCAAGGAAGGTGGCGATGGGAAAGGTAGACTTTAGCAAGCCTGAAATGCCTATTTCTTGTAATAAGTGGGCAAACGACTAAATGTTTTTTGCAGATCAACTTTGCGTGATATTTAACTCGACACGAAATCATCCAACCTTCACTTCGTATTACTCATTTGAAAATGGCCCCAATGAACTGCTTCCACTTTTTTAACGCAACATATCCAGATTTGGTCTGCAGCCTCCAAATGGCCCTGATTGAATGCCCTAAGAAAAACGATGCGCTTGCAGCACTACTACAGGATGCCTCGACTACCTTTCATCAGAAACTCGTTGACGCTGGTATGTACTGATTCATTAATTTTTTATGTATATACTTTATGAATAAGAAATTAAAACGAACGTGCACACATATGAGAAAAAATGTTTAAATCCATCCCGATTGGATTGAGCATTTTCGTTCCCCTTTTTCTCTATCCAGAGAGGGATTTTTCGACTGAGGAACAAATGCATTGAAGGCAAAAACAATGGATTAGGAAGAAAGCCAGAGGACTTTGAATGCACACAATTAATTGATTTGCTCTTCAGTGGGATGCGATCTATTCCTAGGAAGAGTCGTGAGAAAAAGTAGCACATTTCAGTCCATAGTATTTTTACACAGTATGGAAAACTATTCAGGATGTAATTATTAGCCCAGCCTAGCTTGGCGGTCGAAGTTTTGTTCCACCTTCTGGTTAATAAGACAATTTTCAATTTCCTTGAATGCATTTATTTCGAAGCCTTAACGCTTGTCAG